GTGGCTCTGGCTTCTGATTGGTCAATAAAGCCTGTTCTGTTGTACCAGTCTTTTACCTATTAGGGCTCGGGTATCCTACAACAGGATTGGCTGCGGCGTCGGATTAGGGCGCAGACATGTTGGACCACCTGGCCTCAGCCAATCCTGTGTCTCTCTGTGTTCCAATGGCATGCGGGAAAGGAAGGCAGCCAACCAGAGAAGGACATGGAGGAGATGCAGTATATAATGAGCGGCGTGGCCAGCGTGGCGGACTCGGATGAAAGGCGCCTGACGTGTGGCTCTGGCTTCTGATTGGTCAATAAAGCCTGTTCTGTTGTACCGGTCTTTTACCTATTAGGGCTCGGGTATTCTACACCACACCACAGTGGGTGTGGCATGTAGATGATGAGACGTTGGACTGAATTCCTAATATTAAGTTAGTAGACCGATTTTCAGGATAACTCCTGCGAATTTTCCATTGTGGTGTGCACGAGTTAACGTTCACGATTTTCTAAAATTTTGAGGACTCTTCTGAATATCATTAGATCCAATTTTTTTAGGCGTTGACTTTCATAAAAGAAATAAATGTAAAATATCAATTTTCGAATGCATCCATAAAGTCATGAACCACACGTTTTTTCAGCGTAGGCGACTTTGTTTATATGAACGTAAGCAGTTCATTGTGGTTAACGGTGCATTAGAGACGGGGACTAAGCCGTATTTATATCCTGGTTAGGCATTACCCATAAACTCTTCTCTCTGCATCGAAGGAAATGGATAATGGATGCTACTCATGAATGCCCAGTGAAACATTAAAAAAATCATCTTGCTTTGTATTTTTGCATTAAATATGCGGTCCAGTTCAAAAACAGTTATAAGGCGAGTCACCATTCCCCACTTTGTTTGTAGGCACTGTCGTCAGTCATCTTAAAACAAAACGATTCATCTTATTCGATTTTGCCAAAATCTTGCAAATTGTCTGTATATTATTTTAAAAAAATTATACTAATCAATGTCTATTTATTTGTTCTCTCTTATCCATAAAACTCTGATTTCAACAAGAAAAAAAAAACAAAAAAATATAAGTTCAAGATGAATTTTATTAGATATTTAACAGAAAGGGAAATAACATTAATTTTTTTTTAATTTTGAGCCTCTGTAATCAGTTAAAACTTGTTTTTCTTTATGCTTCATGAGTTGATTCCTTGACATTTTTTAAAATTAAGCCAAATGGAAACTAAAGATATTCCTCACAATCTCCAATTATATCAGTACGTATCACATTCTGCTTGAATAAACGAAATAACTGTGGACTATTTAGAATTTGCGTGGCAACATTTTAGAAACTGAAGGTTAAATAACAAGAGACGCCATTATGAGCCTTGTGTATTTGTGTAATTACGATCTATCGCGATCAAATGTTACGCAGCATTCTACCCAGCTAATAGTGTTTTCTGGAATGGACATTATGTAATCGAAGTTGGTTCGTATATTAAAAAAAAATTAAAAGAAGTTCATTGTTGGGAAATTGTGTTTTAAGTATTCCTTCAGCAGATGGTGTCCTAGCAATTTGACTCACGTTTTTCTTACTGCCATATTACCACCATTAATTTGGCAAACCCGTTCAACTGCCACCTCTTCTGCTCTTGATGCACAATGGTGCATCGCCTAAATTATTGAATCTCGGACCACGCAATAAACAGGTGCTTTGATCATGTGGTCCAGACAGTCAACCATCGGTTTTGTGCGTTTGAATGGCCTGCCTGGAATATAAGCGAACTACCAGAGACATGGAAAAGCTTGAAAGGTGCTGCGCGTCAAGCAACGCGCCTCGAGTGTGGACGACTTGGATCGACGATGTCTGACGGACGGTTCTGGTCTGTGGTGTGCTATTAAGGCCTGCTCATTTGTACTCCTTCATACTAGGGCTAAGGTATTTAACAATATGAGACAATAAAGGTCTCTCCACAAGGTCCTCTCAAATAATTCTGATTGTGTTGTGGGGCTTATTTTAGACAGGAAGTATTCAAATTGTTTCAGTGGGTCTGTTTACGTTGCAGACTACTACAGTAAGCATTTTCTGCCGCATCATATTTCTCGCCACAATAATACGTGAATATTCTAACCAAATGAGAGGATTCCATTCAAACATTGGTTTAATGATCCTAGAATTAAATTCGAAGTTGGTAAGATCAGAAGTCTATTTTAACGGGTGTATGAAACAGATCATCTTCGGCCGTAATACGTTCGACCTTTGGAACACTAACACCAATGTTGATGTGGCATTTTAAAGTTCTTCGCATTTAGGAATTAATAAGTACCTTTTCAATTTTGCATGAAATGCAAAAAATACGTTAAATTAAGGTAGACTGCGAACAATAATTTACCCAAGCCTTGACAAAATGCAGCAGGAGCAGATCTGCAGTCTCCCAGTCGTTTAGGTTGATATATTATTACCACAGTCCTAACTCACTCCTTAAACTAACAGAGAGATCACACTTTTGCTCGCATCACCGTAATTTTGAAAAGGAAAAATATGACAGGTAATATTTTGATTTCGAAAAAAATTCAAACAGGGTTCTGTTAACACAGGTTTTACCAGAAACTAATCCAAAATCAACCTGAATACCACTGGATCTCCCCAAGTGATTTCGCTTCATAAATATCAAATATGCACACTCCATTGGCTGAAATCGCCAAATTCCGTTTTACCGGATTTTGCATCAAGATTTACTCGAACACAAGTCTTTAGGGGTGAATTCTTTCCTTAAGCGCGTTAGTTCGGGGATTTGATGTCACATAAAGCAATGCTCATATAGAATGTACATCGTATATGGTCAGGATTGCTACCAATTCTAATCGCATGACCTCACAATTCAATCACAATCCCATTACATATAATTGAGAAAACTAGAAATCAAAAAAGCTTTTTTTGTTACAAGTATTTTTACTAATCAGAATTTCCTTTAGCTCTTTTAAAGGGGTAAAAAATAAACCCACGCAGCATACCGATGCAGTGAATCGTGTTGATTCACGTTAAACACCCCGTTCATCGCTGCCTCACACACGCACGTCCCCTCCGTTCACGACCTTCCCCTTTAGTCACGTGAGGCCTCTGGTTCATTTCTCCTCTGCATGTCCCACCACCACCACCACCACCCGTTTTATTCACGTGACCTCACAGACACCTGTGTTTAGTTTTGTACGTGTCCACTGAACCGTAATTGTACACGACACAATTTGGTTGGGCGGTCTATTAAACGGTTGTGCCTTCTACACCCCGGCCTTCTTTACTTTCGCGGGAGCACAGGGAAATTGCTGTAGATTGTCGCAGTGGCCCCGGCGTGGCTCAAGACAACTTGCCGGGGCCCTCAACACTGAGAACTTCCACGCGCTGGCCGATATAGGGACTGTCGGCTACTTTGGTAGACACAAATACTCGCCAAAACAATTTGCATGCATTTGTTTGCTGATGGGGAGAGCTGTTTCAGTTATTTAAAAAAATTTCAAGGTGTTAGAATGACCGTTAGTTAGGTTTTGGTAGACCTATTCTTTGGTTTGGCTTCAAATTGTCCCTGTTTGTACTTCCAAATCAAAATTTTTGTTTGTTCCGAGGTTTTCTAAACCGAAATTGAAGTCCTTGTAATACCTTCTCGCTGGTTCTCAATTAGCCAAGGAAGCTGCGCGACAACCGAGTCGGCTTTTGTCATTTCAGCTCCACGACCAAACGTAGTACATCAGTGAAGACGAATTGGTCTGCCCATTCGTCACACTGGATTCCCGGACTCCCCAAATGAAATCCAGACTCACTGAATGAAGAAAGTGGTCGAAACTGTTGGACAAAACTGCCACGTGAATACGGAACAAGATAGCTATTCGCGAATTTCGACGCACACCGCATATAGACATAAATTACGAGTAGCACACTGATTGCAGCATGCGTATTTATAAATATTATGTAAGAATCGTCCTATTTAATGATTTGCCCAAAATGACCACCTTTTTTCAAGCTCATTTTGAGTTAGTGCCTGTGTTCGTCTTACCAGGATGTAAAAGAAGCAGCTGAAGATAATATTAACCTGCATGAAAATAAACACAAAATTATCCATGTTTTCACTCGAGAATATCTCGAAACAAATTCCAGCGAAATTGTTTGAATGTCGTCAATAGCACAACATAAATAAATGCCGAAAAATAAATGAGGTCTTCAGTCTGATTTAATCCGAAAGTGCGGACTCCGACTCCTCCAGTATAGCATTGATAAACTCTACAAAAATAAAACGACATTAGTCTGGCGGTGTGATCTTCGGTGGTATCTACTCCGTTGGTTCGTTTGCAACGCAAATATGCAACATTCTACAAAAACAAAGTAGTTACCCAAACCAACTACTGTTATTTAAACCAGTAATTTAGATTCAAATTAGTTTGCAAAACTTTAGCAGCAAAAGTGTCACGAAAGGATTAGTTGTATAAAAGTGCAATAAAAAGAAGCAAGTCTGCTAGCTTTTAGACTACCGCCCTCACACTCTGCCTCTGAAATGAGTGGTTAATCTGTTCCGTGGCATTTTTCTGTTTACTTTGCTTTTCTTCTGGCTTTCGGGATGCAAATTGCAATGCAAAGTCGCCATGTGGTAGATTGTAGAAGGGGAAATTCTTGGCTTTCGAGTTGGCGTAGTAAAGTGGCCCTGGTAGTTTTCATGGAATGGTTATGACGGTGAGGACGATAACTTTAACCACTGAATGATTTGGGTAAATGCAGATAAGTAAGAAAAGTGAGTCACACATTAAAATTTGTGTTATTAAAAATAGGGACATCTATCGTATCGCATCGGAATCCGTCCATTTCTACCAACTCCCTTGTTTTTATTCAATTTTTGAGCTTTCAGGGTATCACAACCAAAATATTGTGCTTCATGACATGAATGAGCGGATTAATCAAGTCTTTTGTGCTAATTTTTCGTAATTTTTAAACGTCCTTGTGTCAGCACCTGATTTCAGTTTTACTGAGACAAATATTTACTGCAAACCTGATAGCAAGTGTCGGGGCCAGGTTTGATGGACTTGACGACCTGGCGACAAAAAATGGGCTCTATGAGAAAGTATGAACGAAGTAATAGAAAGCTACCGGAACAGGCAGACTTTCGTTTTTGAGCAGAAAAAATGGCGATTTTGGACATCAAACAGGCTACAAATGTTTGCGCTAACAACCGCTAACGTCAATGACGGAAATCGCCCAAAGCCAGAATAAATAGTAAAGGCGAAAACGTTAGTAGCCTACCCTCGTACTTCACATTTCCTTGCTGGCAGCCCATCAACTCTAAAATCTTGTCCGATTCCTCCTCAGTCAAGCGCTCTCCTAAAGATAAGTTCAAAAAGACTTCAAAGCTTGGTTAAATGCCTAATGGAGTACCAGATTATGGCTGCAAATGTGAGTGGACTAATCAGATGGTACAAGTGGGAGGCTGCCACTTAAAAACTTCCTTCTTCTACATCAAGACCTTTGTTAGTGTTATCGGATTGTTATTTCAGCTTTAGCGTGATGCTGTTACGCATTTCATTCTTGGGCATAAATCCCCTCTTTAAACAAATTTCACTTCTGCAACAAGAAGTGACGCAGAATACCATCTTTGAAAGAAGCCCTAAAGTGAATGGCTTGAGAAAAGATGAAATGTTTAGAATTTCCAGTTTGAAAATCCAGTTTCGTACACGTCTGGCTGGGAGACCACTTTCGGCTTTTTTATGGCATAAATCTTGTGTGTGCATAGTATGATGGAGCAAGTAGGTAAGGATATTTGCGTAGGATTTTAAACCGATTGGAGAAAATTGTGTGTTGAGCGACGTAACTGCAAAAACGTGCCCAAACGGATGCTAAAACCGGATTATAAAGTGCTGAGCGAACAAAACTGACGTGCATGAAGAGGGACCACAAGTAAATCGTGGTTTTTCATGACTAATGCTTTTGTGCAAACATTAAATTAATCAAACCGCTTTACCTGGCTAGCAAAAAATTTAGGAAAATAAATGTACCACGCCACTCAATTTTGTCCACTGGTTGTGGAAGGCCAGCTGGTTTTTGCCCAGGAAGCGCTAACCCATTGCAACTGCTGGCCCTCCACATTAAAGCGCAGACATTTCCGGTAATTATCCATCTTTATAATTTACTGCGGACTCTGTCAAGGCTGACCAGAGTGGTGTTCTGCGCTTTTGGTAGAGGATGTGCTAGCCGAAAGCATGCAAAATGTTACTGAAAACACCTATTAGTACAAAACGTTTTTTTTGATCAATAAACTGCCACCACTCACTGGTACTGGTTCTACGTTTCAAACTTACTCTATATGGCTACTTAAGAAATGCGTAAAATGAAAACTAGCATTGCTTACCGAAACTTTCCAAAATGTGCCTGATTTGAGCCGCAGACAAGACCCCTTGTGATTCCCGGTCGTAGCTCTTGAAAACTTGTATGAACATGTCTTTGTTAGGCGGTGCGCTATCGTACTTGGTAGCCTGATACACCGAAAGAAATTCTTCAAAGGTGTACTGGTATTCGCCTGGGCAGGAATGCAAGTCAATTAGGAGTCAGTTGGAGTTGGTGTCAAGGCGCAAAACTGGATTTGCAAATCTGGTTATACTAAGACCTCCTAAATTTTAGCTTCTGGTCCCAACCCAACTAGACGAGGTCCTGATTGGTGGCGTAATGCTGTCAGCGGCTGCATTTCCTAAAGACACAGTTGTGATAAATTTGGTCTCGTGCTACTTGATGTCCACTTTGATTTTTACACAGCAGATATGAAAGGATTCCATAAGTCGATTTTACGAACACAGTTTTCTAGAGACTGCATAATTCACAATGGAGCAGGTACAAGGAGGTAACTCAATTCCTAATACAGAATTTCTTCATTAAGTTTATGAACAGAGTTTGTTTCTCAATACCATAATTTTTTCGTAAATTCACCCCCAACGATATTAACCTAGACTTAAGCTGATATGTCAGGAAAAGTCATGACCAATACATGAAAATTGATGCACAAGCAGGACGGCACATTTAAATGAGCCTTTTCGTTTTCTTTAACAGGACAAAAAGTGCAGCCTTATTTTATTTCCTAACCCCATCAGTGGTTTTCATGCAAATGTAAATTGGCATTTTCTGTTCATGATGGTTAACTTAAATGCTTCCATCCTATGCTTTACTTAGACACGTCAACAACACTTTATAGCACTGATTGACAGGCGACACACCTGCCTCAGCGAGAGCACCGTTTTTCAGACAGCAGGCGTTGGTTGGGCTGAGGCCGGTGCAACGGAGCAGATCCGGCACGCGACTCGCGTCCACCATTCCGTCATGACCGTCCCAGAAGTCAAACACTTCAAACACCTCTCTCACACCTACGAAAATGATTCGGTCTGCATCCGACACCAAAACTTACTGTCAACTTCGGCCTTGGAGAGGTTCGCCTTTAAGGGAAAGACATTACACTGAGAAGAAATTTCCTTGACTTACCATTTCTAGTCAGAGCCTGGTTGTAATAGCTAGTAAGTTGTGCTGGGGAAATAAGTTGTGTGAGGTGCTCATTGGCTGAAGGTTAGGCGTTGCATGCTTGTTAGAATTTCAAGGATTGGCTAAGAGGCTTTAAAGGCTTGCTTAGACGTTTTTCTTGCTTGAGGTCGAACAAAATTGACGAAGCAATTCACTTTTAAGACGGCAGTCATTTCCTTGTTTGATTGACGTGTTACTAAAAATGGCTAAACGGTGTCTCACTCGGCAGCTTGAAATAATCAAAAATTCTGTTTCTGAAATGAGGTACAACTGCGATTTCGTACACAGTACTTTGTAGGTTTCTCAAGGGAGCAACAGAAATCACTGAATGGTAAAAGCGAGATGGTTATTAAGCACAATCGGGCCGCGTCGTGAAAAAGAAACTACTTGATTAAACAGGGGCCATGCAAACTGCACAGAGACTTCCCTTGTCAATAGAAATATCACGTGTAAGACGAAGGTACTCAATGCCTTCTTCTGCCTCCCAAATTAGAATGACCTTCGATGGATGTGGGTTTAACTGAAGCACCCTTACCATTATGTGTATCTCGTTAGCGTTGTGTTTACTCAATTAGGATAGTTAGAAAAAGCTCAAATTTCAGAAGTGGGAGGTGGGTCCACAGCATCTATGCATAAATTGGCAACAATATGAAGTGGATGGCCCCTTAGTGCCTTAACTCTGACTACCTCAAGCTCTCTTGATGCAACAACGCCCATTCCCCCAAAACGGATGATTGTAGGAACTGGAGACAGCCACAAAATTATTTTGACTTTGATGGAAAGATTACTTGGGTAGAATAACTCCTCATCATGCGGTTTTAACTCTCTTCAAGCAAGACGATTATTCGAAATTCCCAGTTTAGAGAATGACATTCGGATATTTGATTGTTTTGAGTTACAAAATGAAGCTCTACGCACACATTAAAACCAAAAATGCAAGTCACTAAAAGTGCCTCAATTTGTTGCGTAACTTTCAATTTCCCAAAAGTTAGGTAAAATTAGTGTGTTAGAAGGCATCTGTGAGTTGATGCTAAAAAAGATCAGCTTTAGAAGTTGGCAACCGATAGCGCAAACACTTCTAGAAAGAAAAATGGCGGTCACATCAGTACACAGGGGTGTGTGTGAGGAAACTTTAAGGAGTTGGATTTTTCGCGAATCGGCTTAAAATGTACTGCCTGTCAGACGACGATCCAGCCATTCAAGAGACAGTTGTTTAATAAACAGCTGTCAAAAGTTAAAAAAAAAACACTGTTAGTGGACAGAAGTGGCAGTCACATTTATACGAACAACGGAAATCTGGGATTTCAGATAACTAATATTGACAATTGTGATTTCTGACGATGACGAGTTGGCTCATTTGGAGCTATTATTAGTAAGTGAGCGGTATGCACAATCATGAGACTTCCTCAACTCATCCAACATTGGGTGAGAATCTGTGGATCCATGGATTAGAGGTAAATGATTTACAATCTCGCCAGGAGTTGTGTAATTCCCCACATATATGACGTGATTCACAAGAAATGCAGGGGTTTTGCTTCGCGCCTTGGTATTCGCCATCATCGCGATATGGCATTGGTGACGTGAGACGGCATGGGGTGGTGCTGTTCGTCGTCATAAATGTGGAACTCCTTCTTCCAGCAAGCACGCATCAAGAGCTTTTTTGTTGTATTAATAGAAACCACCTTCAACAACATCATTGCAACTGTTTTATTATTTGTACACTTTTTGGGAAAACGAAAACACTTATGCTTTAACTATTCCTGTTTAGAACACAATCTCTATGTTTCAGTTGCTAAACAAATCTTCGGACTATGTTTTTCAATGCGGTTTTGCCTCACTAGTCGAAAATGTCAGGCTATTAGCTTTCACTATCCGTAAATGTTAAAAAAGTGTCAAAACACTAAAGTCAATTAGCAAGCTGCTTTACAGACAAACGCTGACCACTGGAAGTGTTTTTTTGCTGCTTTAGCATTGTTACTCGCCAAATATGCCATGAAATTTCCAGCTACTTCAAGGCATGTCGTGGCTTTCATCCTCTTCGCAGGTGGATGGACTTCAGTGTGAAAAGTTTATTTGTATTAAAGCTAATCTGAAAAAAAAGATTCTTTGGCCGGGTTTTTAAGCCAATTTAACTTTTTAAGTGCTCTTGAAGCCCGTTTTACAGACACTTGAGTCAGGCGGCCGTAAGTGATACGGCGACGCGAAATTCGCCCTCACGCTGGTGTTATTAAAACCAATGGCAACCAAACGTTTTGGTACGCACGCGCAGCCAATCATGTAGATTGCCAGCGTTGTTATAGCAATGCAAGCTGGGAGAACAAATAGAGAAAGCTAGTTGCGCTTCGTTGAACCGCGAAGATGATGTCCACCACCATGAAGGCGAGCCATATCATCGCTGTTTTGAACATTTGTAAACGCGGCGATGTGGTCTTTCTACGAAAACTTCTGGCATCAAACTGCAACTTCGATGAAGTTAAGGACAGAAAAGGCAGAAATGCCCTGCATTACTGTGCGGAGACTGATAAAGGGAATTCTGGGGAGACTAAGCCAGGTGGCCGTTTGGCGTGTGCGACGCTGCTACTTGAGTCAGAATTCAAGTTACAAAATCAGCCAGACAGCGATGGGTTTTTGCCTTTTCACCATTCCATAATTCATGGGAATATACCATTAGCTAAGCTCTTCATCTCCCACGGAATGGATGTGAACTCTCTCGTAGCTCCACCGTCAAATAGGGCAAACTTTATGGAGGAAGGCAATACTGCCGTCTACGGTCGATCTGCCCTGCATCTGGCTGTGATATACGCCAGTTACGAAACCCTCGAATTTCTACTTTCTGGGTCTTTTGAAGATAGTAATGGCAATACACACAAGTTCTCTGTGGACGTAAGTCTTCAAGATGCACAGTCAGCTACGGCCCTGCACTACGCGGTCCAGCTTCCTGAGGGCATTGCTGCGTCGATGATTAAGTGCATTGTTGAGCGCTCAAACATGGACATCAACTGTACCGATGCGCATGGACGCACCCCGCTGATTTGGGCGGCCACAATTGGCGCATCGCTCTCAACCAGCATGCTTCTGGAACTTGGGGCGGACCTGTGTAAATCTGAGAAAAGTGGCCTTACAGCACTACATTGCGCCTCTTCTAGGGGTCACACTTCCACGGTCCAGGCCATCCTCAAACATCTGGAGAAGGTCGAAATGAGTCCGGAGGAAAAAGCAAAAGTTCTTGATGCTCAGGACGTAGACGGATGCACACCACTATTCTATTCAGTTACTATGGGGCACTACAGCATTACCAAACAACTTCTTGCAGCCGGAGCTGACCCATCAGCTACGGATAGCCGCGGAAGGGGTCTCCTTCACTGTACCGGCAGGACAATGGCAAAAGGGGGAATTGATATTATCGATTTGTTGATTGAACATGGCGTCGACCCAAAAAGAGTAAATGCCGTTGGAGACACGGCCTTGCACGAAGCATGTGCCAATGCAAACAAAGCTTGCGTGGAGAGACTTTTACAGATTGAGGAAGTATCCCGGAATGTAGTCAACTTAAGAAACGCCTCAAACCAAACACCACTTCAAATAACTACCCTTTTGGCTTTAAGAGAAGATAAGCAGGCTGAGGCCTCGGGTAACGCCGTTGAAATCTGTCAAATGCTCTGCAAGGCAGGAGCACTTATCGGAACGAATAATGCATCCGAGACCACACCTCTCTCTCTCGTAAGAAATTGTCTACGCAACACACCGAATTATAGACCAGCGCTCGAACTAGAGCGTCTATTTAATGGTTGCATGAGTAGGAAATCGAGCAAAGCCTTCTCCAAATCGACTGACATTCAGGAAACAGCCACTGTGACTGCAACATCCCAGGAATCTTCTGAAGTCTCCTCCCTACCTTGCGATCAATTTTCCTCTGAAGATGAAAATTGTTCGAAATCGATTTCAGAGTACACAGACGAACTTCATCCTCGCAAAAGTAAAAAAACTGATACCGATAGTAAAAGTGAGGCTATTGACACAAGTGAAATTAAAAACTTTGTGAATCAAGAGATTGACGATGCAGTTAGTCAAGAAGTTCTAGCCAGAGTCTCCAGAGAACCTCTGAGCAAAGATGTACCCAAATCTGAGAGTCTCAGATCTGCATCCGTATCTCAAGGAGTTAGTTCGAAAGCCAGTTCACGTAAACGATCCGCAAATGCTTCGTCCAACAGAAATTTAGCCAATGCTTCTTCTCGAACATCATCCACAAGGGGAAGTCGGGTTTCCTTGGTTAATTCCTCGATTGGTGGTAAATCAACAACTTCCTCCTCCTCATTGCATATTTCTCAATCGGGAAAGCCTATGCATCAAGCATCTCGTAATGGCAGCATAGCCACAACTGAGACCTCATCCAGGAAGTCAGTTTCACTGTCTTCGTTAATGAGTGAGTCTAAGAAGGCAAACAGAAGCCTAGGTGAATCTCCTAGGCAGTCCACAAAAACATTTGGGGAATCATCATCGACTCTGTCAGCCAGGACGACTAGTTCGAAAGCCATGGAAGCCGTTTCCTCATCTCATGCACCTTCTACCTTGAGGAGTCTTAGAAAACCCACAACGAGATCCACGTCTGCCCACAATGAAAAAGCGTCCGCTGCTGCTCCTTCACAAAGCACTAGCACCTTCTCTGCGTTTACGCCATCCCAGACGCGTCGATCTGCAAGCAACCACCGTTCAGAGGCCGCGAAACTGTCGACGAAGCCCACATCTTCCGCCTCCGGTGTCAGGTCTGTTCCACTGAGAGCTCGTCATTCGCCAGCGTGGACACAGACCTCATTCGATGCCACAATGTCCAGTAAACTAGGTCGAGCAAGCCGGAGCTCCGAATTTAAGAGCGATTTGGCGAAACCACGACGTCGCCCCAGCTCTTGTGATTTCCACCGCAAGACCGATTACGACTTTCATCAGCATAAGGGCATAGAAAGGCAAAAGCTGCCGCAGCCCACCATCACGCCTTACCTGACGCCGGTAGCACGGTGGCCGAGGGCAATGGCTTCCATGCTCTTGATGGGGGAAGTTTCACCTCTCTACTGTGCCCAAACCCTCAATGTTGCGCCTCACCGGAGACAGAACAGGAGGGGAGCAGAGGGCACGGAGAAGACGCAAGCCAGACCAGCCATCGAGGCCAGAATGCAGCTCTCGATTGCGGAGAAGGACTTTGTAAAGCTAGCTGCTCAGGTCCTGGATCAATACGACACACTGCTTATTGAACGACAGAAGCTGGCTAGAACCAGAGCAGGACAACACACTGGGGACAAGTAGTGACGCCAGCGTGTTGCACAGTTACCACCTCGCCGCGCAACGCACACGTACGCTCCAATTAACCGAAGTTGTTGCATATTTTCAACCCAAGATGTGCTATTTATGTACCATAAAGCCATGTTAAATGAGTAGGCTTTTGGTGGGCACACCTGATGATATTGTGATGTGATGTGGCTAGACCCAATCATGGTAAATTTCCCATTGTATGGCATGTTTTGGAAGTATCACACAGACATGTAAGACCGAAGGCTTTTATGGAAACCTCTGCAGTTATGTCAGATTACTGTCATGTGTTTGGTACTTTTATTGATAACAGTAGAGTGGAGACTTTGCCTCTCCACGAACTACTTCGTCGAAACCTTCTCTATTTTGGCATCTAAAATCTGAATGACTTAAGGAACCAAAAGATAGCAGTGAACATTAAGTACTTTTTTGAGTTACAGAGGCTCCCATTTTGAGACCTTAAGTCGGTGTTAGCCAATTTTGTGATTTGGCTGCATTACTATCCGAGCACTTAAGCATTTGATTACGTTAGTGCCCTTTTATCTTGAGCTGTGATATTTTTAAGCTTTATGAGAGTATGGTCGTCAATTTTAATGAAGATAAAAGTACCATCTACTAAAAATCAAAAAGTAAACTGTTATCAATTTATATTCTGATCAGTGTGGTTGTTGTGCGTTAGAGGCAACGTTTCCCTTCAGAGTAAGCCATAATCTACAGGGAGCCAACAAATTTAACATTTTGATGTTATTTGGAGAGTCTTCAAGTGGAAAATTTTTTGTCTAGGCTAAAAATCACTGATACAAATCTGTCGTTCAAAGAAAATTGAAAGAACATCTCAGTTACTGTATAGTTTGAGCTAATAGTGATTTGTAGTCTAACCATCTAACAATAGTGGCGACAATGCTTGTAAGGTATTTCCGTACATAGAATGCGACGGCAACGCCGTGAAAATGTGGAGGCGGTCGATAAATACGCCATCCCGAATGCGTAAAAAATCCTACTCCAAAACAAACACCATGATTTTTGTGGGGGAGCATAACGCCGTATATGGACAGTCATTCAGTGACTTTTCGATTTACACTAGATCACCTAAGACAAGCCATCACAAGCAGGACTTCCGTGTCTTGTCACTCATGGGACACATTTGATAGGGGCTACGTTTCACGAACACTGACAGACAGCACGTGTATGCACCGTTTTTTATATATTTAGACTACTCAACAAAAGCAATCCCTCAAAACTTTGAACGGGTAAAGACAGAACATGATGTTAAATTCAACAGGATTGTTACCGTGGCCCTGTGATGCGAAGTCACTTGCAAAACACCGTTGAGGCTACCGGTGCAAGGTCTCCGGAATGCCTGACATTCTTTTAAAGGGTATTCAGTCACAAAAGCACTATTCCTACATTGCTATACTTCTTAATGCGACGGGGCACGAGTAAGACCACGTTAAACGGTCACCCAACTCGAACAGCCCATAATTCGCTTCCCAACCTTGTCATGGCCTCAGTGGTGCTCGATTTTCACAGAACATGGTCGAATAGTGTTTCGACGGTTTCCCTGCGCTTGTGGAGCCTAGAAACGACTAAGTGCACTAAATGCTACATTTCCAATTTGGAAGCCACACATGCTACTCGAAAGCAAATGAGTACGTAGAAGAGGAAATGTATCTCTACGTAACTTTATACCATTTTGTCGATAGCGACGGAGTTAGATGCCCCAGACAACTGCCTTGGATTATCAGGTACATATGAATCCAGTGCTTCCTTGGAGGTGAATACATCTACTTTGGGCAGTCACGAGAGTGTCGACCCACGCGAACCGACCTCCTCTACGGTGTTACGAAGATCCTTCGCGACCTCATTGACATGACAGAGGCTTAGACTGCTTAGGTAGTATCAGGTCTGGAAATGGCGGGGTTCTGACCATCCATGGCTCAAGTAGTTCTGCCCTTCAAGATCACAGGAGTCGACTGAGGTCGTGCACTACCGTAAGGACAGCTATCTAGCAGCTACCAGGGGATCAAGCTTCTTTGCCCACAAGACAACATGATTCCATCGTTTACTTACTGACTGGGCCACAAGACAAATTAATAGACCTTACCCCATTCATCTTGTTATGTTGATATGAATCAGTTTATGTAAGACCGGTGGAGTAGGCCGCTGCAATGACGTTTCAAAATAGCCAAATGAATTTCTGCGCACCATTTCATTGGATTTCTCAAAATTGTCACTGGAAATTTAAAAATACCGCGGAAAGCTACTTAACAAGAATTGAATAGACAAGTTGTAGACACACAATTACACCAATCCCTTAAAAAAACTAATTTCTAAAAGATGGAAGATTCTACACAGTACATCATACAACTCATGATTATTCTAAAACATTCACAATCAGCCAAGCTGAAATGTGGGAACTCAAAAACCAACCAACTCGGCGGTAACTCATTCCTTTTAAAAATTAGCAAGTTCGGAAGTCGTGTATATTCAACTATGCCACATCCAAATTTTGGAGCAATGCTTACAACCCCGGAGATGATAAACGAACGGGAATTGAAATACATTAGGGAGGAGCGTTTGAATTTTAAGAAAACGACAGGACCCTCAAAAATTATATAGAAATACTTAGCTCAGAGAGACCCCACATGTGTTACCACAAACAGTACCACAATGAAGAAAAAACTATCAAAAGATGAAGTACGAACCCCGGTCTCGTCCGACAAAAAACAATAAGTAGACGGCTTGTTTTGGCTATACAAAAACAATAAACGCACTTATTTTACAAGAGGAAATTGCTTTAGTAGGTGACAAACATCCTTTTTGATATAGGGTCGTAGTGCAAGAGCAGTAAGAATATTTTCAGGCTGCTCTCTCCACAGTACAAAGTCGATGTCCTCCGCCTCCAGCTGCACGGAGAATTGGGCCAATTTAGGCTCGTCATCGATGCCAAGAACCACTTTGTGCATGTTATCGAGGTCAGCAAGGTAGGCTTGTGTCTGCTCGTGGCTAGCGAACTTGTGAAGTGCAGCGGTTGACGCATGACAGGCCTGGGCAATTATGGCTCCGAGTGGCCAGGCGAGAGACGTCTTAAGATCTGTCCGTACCAATATATACTGAACAAGGGACGTTGACATCATGTTGCCTGAAAAAAATTAAACACATTTGACACCACGTGCATGCATAATAATGAAGGAATTTCGTTGAAAACTAAACTTTAGGATCACAATATAACTATCGACTCTTTAGAATATCACAGTTTCATTAAAATTAAGCAAGAAGTCTAATATCCAACTTTCGAAACCAAGTCACATCGCATTTGCCCATTTTGAACCTGAAATCAAAAATACGTTGTACCCGGTAAATGTGTGGCCAGCGCATGCTACAAAAGAGAAACGTCTGTTTTCTGGACCACTAATGATTTAACTTTGCAACCGATTTAGAAAGCCATAAATGTTTATATAACCTGACTGCGTAGTATATTGGCTACCTTTAAAATCTCTAGATATTTTATCACATGTCACTTGGAGTGATAAAAGTATCAAGTATAGCCTTTCGTACCAAACATGTGGTAAACATCGTAAAACGACACTACAAAGGTTGACACCAAAACCAAGTGTCTCAAGTTCATTTAGATAAACAGGGGCTTTGTTGCTGAGAAATGTAATCAGAGAAACGAACAGCCAATTACAGTAAATTGAGCTGCTTGAAAGAACCACACTACAACGATATAGGATCAATTCACTTTCAGTTCCATCAATGACTTTGAAAACAAGTCATACCACTAATGGCTGGTATCGTTTCCCTGAGAGAGCCGGAAGAAGTGGATCAAAATACTTCTACGACCCCTGCAATCGGCATTTCCAAAATGCTTGTAAACATCGTTCAGTATTTACGCCTTGCTAAGTGGCCTAGAGGCATCGTAATAATACAACAATGGTCCGTGCTCAGGACTGCATGATTTCTTCATAAAGACTGATAATAATACTACTACTCCCGCACAGCACTGAGATGAGCGAAATACGATTATCCAACACGGCCGTAACTTACAGTCACTTCACAGTTAGATCGCCAATTGGAGAATACAGGGTACCAATAGAATCCAAAGTTTAAGGATCAGCAATCCATGAATTGGTGAAACGTCTACCAGTTTATTTGTCTAGTTGTTGATAAATGTGAATATAAAATTTTATGTCTAACATGAGTGAATTTTTTTTAAATTTGCCACTGGCTGGCTGGAAATGAGAGTAAGGGAAAGGTTTGAAATTCTGATTCATGCAACGTGATAAATACCGGAAATATGCTTATTTCTGTGTCACACAGTGTTGGTTTTTTGAAATTTTCTGATCTAAAGAATATTTTTTATATCTTCATTTGTATGTCTGCTTAATTTCTCTAATGCTGGACCGTAGAGAGATAATTGGACAGCTGAATTTGAGGCGGTGCATCATTAATGATAAACCTAGCAGGAAATATTGGAAAAAAACGCATCTGAGAAGTTTTATCCGAATATGAGAGGTAATTACTTTACCCTAACACTGTTATGAATCCTAATTACCTCAAATCTTCATGATTTACACTAGAATTATATAATCCCTCTAATCTTATGTATATCTGCGTATTTTTTTAATACTTTGTGATGCTTTGAACAGTTGGAGTAGATTTTATCCTGTTTTTCCTTAGACTGTTTATCTGGAATCGTACATCCATCTGTTGAGTTTTTCATGCAAGTGTCAGCAATCAAATGAACTATCAGTCAACGCAGAATATTTTTAACTATATCAACCAGGCTATTAACTTTAAATAAGATGTAAATCAACTGATTTCCAAAATTCCTCACCAAGAGATATTATGCGTGGTAAAAATTCGGTGGTTGGGAATATGCGATTTCCAAAAAATTAGGTAATTCCGTTTTGACAAATATCTAGCTAATTTAGACGATTCGGTTAAAAATTTTATTTACACGCATTTGCAATGCCACAGATCGCTAATAGAATCAGCGACATTTGCACAGTAACTTTGGTTCTAAAGCACGACGACAATAGCATTAAATGTAGACTGGGTCATTCATTTTTTGTCAAAATTGTGGCATACATCAACTAATTAGGTCAAACTAAATCGATCAAATCTATGGTAACAATCAAACGCCACTAAAAGTCATATGGAAACAAACTACGAAATGTTTCAACCGCGAAATTGTAAATGTAAAATTTGCTATTCAAAATTATGCACTTTACTGTGTATATTTGCTTCAACGAGATTTGCAGCTTGCATAAAGTTATTTTTTCGAAAATCACACCCGAATTGACAACAAAACTGTCTTAGAATGAGGTTGTTTATTTCAGCAAGAGTAGTAAAACTAAAACAAACCTCTGATTTTTTATGTGGAGAACCGAATTTATTAATCTGGCCTTCAATTCTAGTTAGGTTTGCAGAATGCGTGAGTTTAAATTGTCACGGTTTTAAACTTGAATGAAAAATGGAGACCAATAGGTTTTTTTTACAGGCATAGTAATCGCAGAAATTTTCACTCGTGCTAGTTAATAAATTTTCAATTGCTTTTCTTTTTGTTAGATTTGGCATTCCAATTCAAAATTCCAAGCTGAAGAATTCGGAAAAGATTATTCATATATTAATTGCCAGATTGACTGGGACAAGAACTGATGCTCGCATTTAATTTTTTTGATCGCAAACGTATGCCCCAATTTCTTAAATTAGAACCTTTGTGAACCAACGCAAAAATTTGGTGAACTGGCAGTCTTGTTTCCATTTTTGGATTTTTCATTTTTTGTGCTTTGGCAAATTTTACCATATTAACTCAGTTGGGGTAAATCAGTCATTAATTTGGTGGTTTTATTGGAATGAAGACTATACGGTGCTCAAGACACGATGTCAAGCGAACTAGAACTCTTGATTAAAGCATGCAAACAGTTGTACTTAAGTCCGACCAAACTATGACTTTTCATCTAACCCCAGAACTACATGTTTTCTAGTGCTTTTAGAATACACGTACGTAGGCACTAGCTTTCCTGTCATTAGACTGCCCCCAGACTAGGTCAGACAGCTAACGTCTAAATCGCAAGCAAGTGGCGAAGTAAAACCAGTTGCCTAGGTGCACGAAAATCGCCTCCTTTGACAGCACGGTTCTTATCATTTTATAGTGAGATGAAGACGCTGCATAAGACATAATCCCTTTACACTGGTTTTCAATGATGGCGCCGCACTATATAATTCCATAGTTCCTCCATATTTCTGCACGTTTAATTCGTAAAAATTATTGTTACCAGCACGTCATTAGTATTGCTTAAATTTCACAGTTGTGGTTAGGCATTCGTTAATAGATTGTGGGCCCTGTTCCATTTCATCTGTAACACACTGCCGAAAGGATACACACGCCAGTGCCATAACATGGTTGGTTCATTCAAGGTTGCGGGAAAATCGATGGCTTTCAATTAAAGAGTGGGAGATAACAAGCTCCGCACAAAATATCCCTCAGAAAAGATAAAAAAGGCCAAAATGAATCAAAACCTTAATCAGATATCTCAACGAATGGCCTTTGGGCACACAGACTACGTGCCGCCAGACGAAACTCGAAACTTCAAAGCCCTCTTTTCACTTTCGGATAATATTAAGGAGCAAATTGACACAAAACCTAGTGTGGTTCTGCACATCGATCCAGAGTTATATCCGCCTGAATTAGTGTCAAAATACGAAGAAAATGTAAAAGGTCATCCTCTGCCAGCCAAGGATTATCGCAAGTTAATGTGGGGCGCGAGCCAACAGAGCATTCCCGAAATTGACTCGACAGAAAACACTCCTGTTATTCCCTCTGAGAAATCAACCAAACAACAAAAGTCGACGGAGGGACCACACCACATCTGCGAAGCTGAGGTGACAACTTTACCAGCCGTAGAGGCCCGTTACAGAGGTATGGCATCAATTCCATTCAGAACTGATCAAATGGCATGTCATCTGATCGACCAGCCTGCAATGGTGTCACAAACCAGAAAGCTGAAAGCCCGTCTTGGTCACGATACTATTCGGCTTAATGACCCCGTCTATGCGGACTGGCTTCGTGAACTAGTACAGAGGGAAATGGAGAATGAAGAAGAAGGTTTATGTTTAAAGCGAGAGGGGGACGAGGTTTTGAGAACTGTTAATTCAAAGAAACTGAATAAGTCTGCTGCTAATGAATTGTTCAAAGAGATGCGCTTGCCGGAATTGTGCAGCCAAAAACCTTGGATATGGTCAAGTTCACTAAAATCACATGCTGAAAAGTATGGAGCTGGTGACTGTAAATACGAGTAAGCTTTTACTTTTAATTGTCGTGTCGATGCACCACGCATGCCATCAATGAGAAGTAGATAAGGTAACTCCAGGTTGCTGAGTAGAGGATTGTATTTTAAAAGGTCTAGACTGGAGTGTAGCAACAACCTCGCTGTAGTCCTTAGCACGTGGTTTCTAAATGACCTTGAGCATTCGAGAACTCATTCTTGTCAGGCACAAGAAAAACTAGGTTTGATTCCCCGTGTTCAAATAAATTATGAGTTCATAATAGGACAATCAATTGTAGTAGCTAAGAAAAGTAACAGAATTGTCATTACGTCGACACTAATAATGACCCAGACTAAAACTTCAAAGTAGATGCTCCCAAGGATGAGAAAATTCGGCTTTTTTTGGAATTGACACCGGTGCCATAGTGCATGAAGTCGTACCAGGTGCCAATTTGCGGTTTCGGTAGCTACGTCAGTTCATGATGACTATCAGGTTCTTCAAACAATTTCAAACAGAAATTTTAACTACTTCTCACGCAAAAGAAAACCTCCCATGGCTTAACTTACCAAGCACAAATTTGAACCCGGAAGGCGTAATCTGAGGTGTCTTGTGGGCTAGAAGTTACATGATATTGCGTTTGGTTGTCGACATTAAACGATTTTTGGTCAAAGATTCAGTGCATTCCACCGGCCGGCACAATCTCCCATGAAGTACGGTTTTAATTGGCAACAGCAATGACAGCGCGGATGTTCTTGAATCATAAAAGTGACGATGACTAAGAGCTGCTTTGCCCCTTTGGAAACTTCAAGCCAATTGAACAATGAGTCACTTAAAGAGAACAATGAGAGGTGGTGGGCCCTCGTGCTCATGCGTTGAGCAATTTTTTACTCAATGTGCTGTCAGACGTTTGAATCGAGAGGGTGTAGAAAGGTGACGCTTGTAGCGTGGTTTTTGTGCTTGCTGCTCCTAGATACCCACTAGATCCTCATGGGATGTGTGTTGAAGTCTTAGAGAGGTAGAACCAAACCATATTTATTCCCTTCGGCTTATCTTAATGCCAGAGCCCATTTTGTTGTCCTTCCAATGGGATCGATTTCACATGACCTTTATACGCGAGAAAGTATAATACAAATTGGAGGCTCAAGAGTTGGTATTTGACGCCATATTAAATAGACTCAAGAGTAAATTCAACGAAACCACTTTTTTCAAGGACAATCTTGAAATGTAGTTATTTGAGTCCCGACCACTATTTTGCCATAGTAAATTCAAAACTCAGACTTTATTGACGGGCCATTATGAACCCCTTAATCAGTCTCTCCAGGCATACCCAAAATCAATTTGTTTAAAGATTCGGGAAGATGCTGTTTGGTGTGTGCTAAAGGTGTAGTGCTAGAGAAAGATGTCCCCGTGTCTGAACCGATCCCAATAGATTATAATATTGTTAAGCATTTAGGCTTTGTACAATTGTCGAAGCACTCTAATTCTTGTCCTATTTAGTGATGGCGATTTCGAATCGAGATCAGTCAGCAGTTCCATGAGGTTGCCTCCCATTCACCAGCACTGTCCAAAGCACTCTAATAAGCCCTGTCGTTCGAAGAAGTGCTTAGAAGGCAGCGAAACACAAGAAAATGACGATGAGCTTGAGGCCCTACCTCCGATTCAGTGCACACTGGTAAAAACAGATGACTTTATACAAGAATATGAGGAGGAAAGGGAAGAAGAGGAGGGTGACGAGGAGGAGGATAATGAGGAAGGGATGGAGGAGGAGGGCAACTCATCTGAAGCCTGCACAGTGGAAAAACTGAGTGAAATGACTACTGTAACTCAGCTCTTTTCCAATGCCGACTGCATCTTAAATAACCCAAAAGTTTATACAAAGCTAACTCTCAATGGTGAATATGTGTCAGAGGAGGATTCGGGTTTAGGAACAGAAGAGGGGTAATCTCCGCATCACGTGGGTGCGTGTGTCTAGGACTTTTGCTTTTAAAGTCTGTACAAAGTTGCCCTCTTCCTTGATCTAAATGTACACAAGTTTACTGTGACATTTGTCTCACCCCCCTAAGGAAGTTTCTTGTCCTGTATACAGTCAGGCAATTTCATGAAGAAACTATCTATAGACCAATCGTGTTTTGAGTTCTCAACAACTGGTGCATGTCAAAACCCCGCTTGGGCTGCGACTTCGGACATATTTGCATGGGGTATTCCATAGCACCGTCCAAAGTCAGTTTTGACAAATGGTATTTTTTGTTGGTGAATTGAATCCAAGTTGAAACGAGGATATCGTGCAAGAAATCGTATATCTCATTTGTCATTTCGGCCTGTTAGACTTCGTTAGTTTGTCATTAGTGTCTCTAGGAGGATATGCGAACGGTATGCCAACATCACAATGCACCAGCAATGGTTTCCACAGCCGTAATTACCTTGATTAAAACTCCTCCCACTAGTCAGTGAATTGTTAAAGTGAAATTAATTTCCTGTGTATGTTCCAATGTTATTCAGAAAATTTTTGACTAAGCATACCATGACAAAGTACAGCACAAACGTTTAAAAAGAAGCCCAACAAGATGCCAAATCTCTCTAATCCTAATGAAATATTTTTTTAGAATTGCGTGCCTATGGGGACATAAGTTATCGTATTGCATCAAAACGAAGTGGTTAGGCAGAGCCTAAACATCTCCGGCATACGTTCGAAGTCGTCTTTTTGATGCTTTGTGAGATCGCTTAACTTCAGACAAACTTACCAAACATGAGAATTCAAGGTCAATAAACTAATGCCTTGTTTAACAAGCCTAGTCGTCTTTAGTCTTAATCAAAAACCCAACATTTTGGATAAGATTAATAAAACCGATCATTTCCTTGGGCTTCAAAGTCCTGATTATTACTATGACCCCTTCCTCAGGCATGTTTCATGTGGGAAATTTATATCATATTGTTCCCAATTTGAATGTTAGACCTTGAGTAATGCCATGAAGGAACCCCAGGATTTGGTTGTCATGCCGATTTATTAGTCTCATTCCACGTGGACGAGTAACGGACCAAAAACAAATCGATAATCACACGGTAAACGGAGCGTGGGAGCCCATTCTTTGGAAGCACAGCAACTAAACCCCTTGCGTTTCACTTTAATGACCTTTAGCTGGGTCAGCGAGCGTCTTTAAGTAAGTGCTACCCAAATGGGGAACATGATCCACGGCTAAATTACTTCCCGACTCTGGTCACCTGCAGTTAAACTGCTTTACTGCGTTGAGCTTGTCATGGCGAGAAAGGGGTCTGTCCATAGTGGTATAGGCTGTCTTCGGAAGCTTGTAGTTTAGACTCTAGAAAAGGGGATGCGGTGGTAACGATGTCAATATTTATCTTAACTTTGTACCGATGCTCTTCGTTGAGTACCATGTTGCGGATATGAAGCTGACACAGACACAATTAGATTTCGTGTGAGTGCTGCTCCAAACCTGTTCAAAAATTCGATATTTTTTGTTCACTTTTCGATGGTCAAATTTACGCGCCTTCTCTAAGTCATTTAAAATAGTCCCATAGGGGCCGATGTCAACCATAAATCGATGTTTTGAACCAGATCCTATGGCTTTGAAGACATAAATTTGGAGTTGTTTATATTAGATATTGATGTTTTTGAAGGCACACCTTAATGCCATGCTCTCCAGGTAAGTCATCCAAAAGACCTTCACATACTAGTGTAGACTTTAGTTGCCCATGTGTGAAGATCACGCATCAAAATGGCAAACATCAAAGTCAAAAATTTCTTTGCGAAATCTCGTCTAATTGAGCAGCCTCTCTCTCATTTTTGTTTCGATTTCCATTCTTTGTCAATGTATCATATTTTCTGGGTGAAATACAGGGTGCCCCTAAAATTGGAATAATTTCCTAACCTAATGAGGCGGCTAAGACTATTAATATTGCCTCAGATTTTGGCAGTTTGTCCAGAATTCCAAGATTTTAAAAGCTACTTAATCTTTTGCTTCCGTTTCTGAGTTCGATATGCCGATTACCGTAACAGCAAATGCATTTCCCGTACTGGACCACGCCCAAACTCAGTGAAATGTGAATGAGCAGTGTGCATTTGCTTCAAGGTTCGGCCAACAGGCGCCAGCAGTGATTCATGTTTTGACGTAGCATAAAAAATTTAACGAGGGGAATCGTTCGGCTAGACGGCTAACACTCCCAGTAGGAATAGGTAATGAAGATAGCGATGCTTGTTGTCACAGTCCATTGAAATATGTGCAAAGAAAACATCTGGAATTCTGAATGTCAAAGCCAACTGTGTGGTGTACTTTTAGAAAACGCAAGTCACGTGACAAACAAGTAGCCAGTAGGTTGTTTCACAGACCCTGGGTATACATGTACAAGCTCAATAAGGCTTTAAGCACTAACTTTTGCTACGGCCGGTTTATAGCGAAAATATCATCCTAGGTGTTTTTCGACGTAAATATGAAAGTTTTAGGCGGTCACAAAATTCAACTCTATAAAGTGCCTGAAAAATTGGTTTGGAAAGGAATGGGTTCGGAAGGCAATAGGCCCTCTTCCCCGTTTGGTGTTACTTGGACCAATTAAAAAGAAAAGTTTCGTGTTAGGTACTTATTAAATAGTGTAACGGAAGTTCAAATTTTGAGTTTTAACTAAACAGGACGTTCTGCCATCCAAATTAGTTCTTTATTATTGTTTAAACTAAGAAAACAATTACATTTTGGGCCGAAATGCTTCCACTTAGCAATAGTTCGAAGCATTCCTAGATTTTTCACCTCAGTTCAGTGCAGACGTTTATGGACTCAATATCGATGCCAGTTGTCTTCTCATAAGCCGACACAAAAAATGGTTAAAAGAAATAGCCTATTTTGTAGAACCCAACTCTTTAGTTGAAAAAAAATTATCACACAATTATTCGTCTTTTACGACCAGTAATTCTGTTTAATAGAAACTAAAATTGCGAAAATAGTTTTGAAATAAACTCTGGATACCGTGATAATACCGTCATCATGTTATTTGTACGCTTTCCCATGTAACATCATTCGTTCCAATAATGCTCTTTTACAGTCAGCTGTTTAGGTACCATTTTATTAGCAATATGTAACTTCTCAAACTAAATTTATGTGTAATTTTGGTGTGTCCAAATGAGGGGGGCGCCGTGGGCATCCTTGGCAAAACATTCGCACGTGCCGCCCATGTGGCATTGAACGAAACTCACCAACCAATTATGACGAGTAGTTTACTGTAGTGCATTAAGGCGTGTTGAAAAATCAATACGACTGGCCATTCGTAAGCATGGTTTTAGGCGCATACACATACGTACGCACGCTGACACACGTAGTAGGAAAAACTAGATCGATTTGACGCGTCCCAGCTCAGGAGTGCGTGCGCCGCCGGCCATTAGCCCAAAGTTGGATCAAAGAGACGAGTCATATCGGGTAGCTTTTCCCATCTACCATGGCAACTAAAGAAGAAATAAGTCCAGACTCATTTTTCGTCAACTCGATTAAAACGGAAAATGCAGAAACAGCCTTCGTCGTCATTCCAAAATCTTCACGAAAAGTAAGTTCAGATTCTTTCAAAATTTGAGATAGTAACTCAGTAAGTTTCAAGATTTGGTATTTTATACGGTATCATGAGACCTTAATTCGGAAATGACGAGAATACTAGGTCCGTGAATAAGGCTAGTTAAAATAGTGGGACCTACCATTCCTCTTTGCCTAAAAAAATTTACACTGCAATTAAATTTATTTTTGGGCTTGAACCGCCCATCTTGGTGTCAATTTGCATAACTTAGCACACCCAGTTTGAACTTCTTTTGAGAACAGGATGATGTAGTCTTTAAAATAGATTTTCTTGACATTACAGTCTGATCGCGGTGAGCGCTCTCCATCAGCACTTGACTTGAGGGTAAGAGTTGTTTATTTTAATGTTCCACGTAACGAATTCATAGATTAAGGGAGCATTCTGTAGATTAAATTTGCTACTTCCTTGTGAAATAATGAGGTTGGAAAAAATTGCTTTGAAATGAAATAAGCGGGTAAAGACAATTTCACGAACAGGCCAGATGGAAGATTACTTACGACTATTTTGGATCAAATGTTTAAAAAATAATGAAACAATCGAAGTGATGTTGGGTAGGTTGGCACATCATAAAACAACAAAGGAAGTTGTGGGATGGACCAATTACTAATGAAAGTGCTCAGTTCACCCTTCAGGTATAAATAAAAACAGATCAATTACTTCAGCGTCTGAGATCCGTGTGGCGCACAATCACCACATCAAATTGGGGGTGCGAATGTAATATTGCTTTGAAGTTTTCCCTTAGATAATGGTTACAATATTCGGGTTGTACCATCGAGTGAGTGAATGCCACCAGGTACTGACGCGTCTATTAACAAAACTTGCTGATGGTCGTGAAAGCAAGGACATATTTTTAATGGAACTGGTTTTGTGTAAATTTGCGTGCTTCACAGAAGCAGTACTGTCGGATAAATTTGAGGCTTAGCAAATACTAGTAAAAGAGAGAACCGTGGAGTAAGCAGATAGAAGAGATAAGCAAGCGGAAATGTTCTTGAATGGCGTAGAGGGAGGATTTGGTGGGTAAGCGATTTCGGGGGAATTCACCGTTTAGCTTTAATAGTAGGATCCAATATTGACGTGGGCAACGTCGGCCATAATGAAAACATGGGAGAAAAATGACGAACTGAGACCCTTGATGGGGACTCCAACATTCAAGTGATGTACTTGCATGCTGAAAACTAAGGATTAATGCTAAGTTAAACAGGTACTAGTGATGGGGTTATTAAAATACCTTGGTTCAAACATTCACGAACCAGCAGAACCATAATTTGGGTAGAATCACCATGTGAAGCAGGTATGATTGCGTTTCGGGTCCCACGTTCCCCATCTCGTTTATATCGACTAACATTTTTTGGGCGTCTACAAAAATTTGAGTGACACCGGTCCGAAGTAGGCGAGGTCACCGAAGGTCGTGATCTTAAGAATGTTACCCAGAAAGCGATCCCGATCACAACTACGACCGCGCAGATATCGCTCTGAGAAGTTGAGAAATCTGGGTGATTCCTGCCTGATGTCACCCGTGGTTGGCTTGAACTGGATTACTTGAGGCTATGAGTCCACTGTGTTAGCTTAGGACGCAGGAAGTTGTTGTTTTTCCTACCATCATTTCTTCAAAGTTTATAAATAAAAAAATACACCGCATGTAATTTAAAATTGCCGTTTAATAATGAAGTTGGAAAGGACGCCAGAATGTTGGGAGCAATCTTATAGTAAAAATGCTATTTGAAAATCAGTGACTTGACGCAGCTGTCCAAGGTTGTTAAACATTTTGCATAGAAAAACTCCTAAATTTCACACTAAGCGGCTTAAATGTTAAAGAATTATCCTAAATTTCGCATTGGAAACGTGTTCTTGGTTATTTAGACTGGAACAGCAAGAAAACGGTCGTATTCAGGAGAAGAAGAAGAAACAAGCAGCACCTCTCGGATCAAGATAGCTAAGCGGAAACCAACGGACCAGGAATTAGCCCTCAATGTAAGTTTTGAAGGTTACTTTATGACATGGGACTACGTTCCATAAAACTAATTTCAGCAAATTTTAATGGGAATCACGGAATTGTTCATTGATCTAGAGCTTTCAATGTAACCAGGTAAGCAATGAATTGGAAATCATATTTTTACTCACTGGTGGACAAATACGAAGAATGACTCGTTGGAAAGTGTAATTATGCTTATAGACTGATGCAGTTAATTAACCTGACGGCCATGAATTAGCCTGATTCGTTTAGCATCGCATATTTTCGCCGCTGCTCTGAGACCGATCAAAGCGTCAGAATAGCTTGCCCACACTTTTAATGTGATCTGAGGATGTATGAAAGGCTGCCTGATCACGTACCACATTATTTGAGATTGCTATTTTACAAATCATTTGCGTCTTTGAGTTGAATATGCTTCTGTGGATTAATCAGCAAGAGGTATGCGTCCTTTGAGACGATAATTAAATGCTATATCATAACTGAATCTCGACTGATTGGGCCCGATCCTACTTTTCATTAGTTTAAAAAACTTGCATCAACTTTTACAGAAGGTTTTACTAACGCAAAATAATGCGCATTTTAGGCGGTACCGATGGACATCAAACAGTTTACGAAGAAACTTTAACATGGCCATTTTGGGATAAATGTTCAACGTTTGCTCGTGAATAACCTTCGACAAGTACTTAAAGTATGATGATCATCAGCTAATCTGTAGAACTCGAAATAACTTTTAATAGCATTTTCACAAATCTACAAATAACTTCAGCAAACGTTCACCCTGGGCCAAAAAAGCCTTGACTTTTGATTTGATCAACTTTTCCATAGCACGACTCCATTTAGTGATGAAGACGCAGATTAAGAAAGTACGAAGGAACCACGAAACCAATTATTCTGGCGTCAATCGTAGATGCTATCAAGAAGACGCTTTGAAGCTATTTTATTGGCACTTTATCCTTGCCATCATTTTAAAGTCCGCGTTTTGCGAAGTGGGCCAGCATATTTCTTACAGTCTTCGCGTTTATGCTTTGTGTCTGACCATAGGGTTTCAGCGCAAGTAGTTGGGAAGCAATGAAAGATCATTTTGCTTTAGGTTAAGGCTAAGGTGTGCAGCAATTTATGCGAACTTTTTTTTAAACAAGATCGTTTTCTTATCTACATGCTAATAAACTTGGATTTAGACAAGAACGTCGGTCAGTTTAGAAGCAATGCCCAGATTGCACCTACCGATTTGAGGTCTAATAAAGCTGACTAGTTTTGGTAACAAAAATTGGGAATTCCTAATGCTTGCAACTATAATTATCTTGACCCAAGTACAACATAGTTTAAAATGAATTCGAGGTGGCTATCTGCCTTGATCACTTTACTGAATGATCTTGGCTATAGACTGTTATAAAGTATGATAGTGCCGACAACAGGACAATTAGCTAATAATATTGCTGTCGCTCATGATGCGTGCTTGCTGGAGGAAAGAGTTCCACATTTATGACGATGAACAGCACCACTCCATGCCGCCTCACGTCACCAATGCCATATCGCGATGATGGCGAATACCAAGGCGCGAAGCAAAACCCCTGCATTTCTTGTGAATCACACCATATATGTGGGGAAGTACACAACTCCTGATCAGATAGTGGATCATTTACCTCTAATCCATGGATCCACAGATTCTCACCCAATGTTGGATGAGTTGAGGAAGTCACATGATTGTGCATGCCACTCACTTACTAGAATAGCTCCGAGTGAGCCAACTCGTCATATTCAGAAATCACAATTGTCCACTAACGGTGTTTTTTTTTAAAATTTTGACAGCTGTTTATTAAACAACTGTCTCTCGAATGGCTGGATCGTCGTCTTACCATCGTCCAGCAACCTCGACATCGTTTAGCACAATTAGAGGCTGCTTGTAGACGTCAATTTCCTGCATTCAACGAGCGACAGATACGCCTTAAAATTCGCGGTCAATTGAAGCTGTACCGACGTAACCTGAAAAAAGCGGAGGAGAGAAAATTGAGCAAGTCAGGTCCGTTGAATCAGCACTCGCCTGCAACAGACTGGTCCCCGCTGAGTCCCATCGACCAAAATCCAAGTTATCTTGCATGCAACCCCAATGCCGTTTGGATAGCACGCCGAGCTTTGGCCAATGAACGTAAGCGCGGGAAGCCGCTTGGCAACCCATCATCCGAAGTAATGCCTCTAAAGGCAATCAACGATTGGCAGAATGTTGGAGCCATGGAAGCACCTATAGTAATCAGCAAACCCCTACCTGCAATTAGACCGGTGAGTGCGGTAAAATAAAAGTTAATTTGTTATTTATTCTGGGATTCAATAGAAAATGCGCCATCTACAAATGGTAACACGTGTGTGACAGGAGTTTTGTCAGCGCTGTGACTGGTCACATTCATTACAATGTTCAATTCGTTATGGTATTGTTCCCTTCAACCCTAATGCCTTTTCTTGCAGTAAGTATGTCAATCACATTAACCGAAATCCTTGGACATTATTTAAGAGACGCTTGTACCAGTCTTGGAAAGAATCGCTACCATGTCGGCGTCCTCGTCATTACAGTTCCTGTTGTAGTCGTAGAATGGTAAGGGCGGGGTCTCAGGGCCCCGGCAAATGCGCGGTAGTTGCGTGTCCACGAGTTCGCATATCCTGGTCACTTGATTGATTGTCTTCACTTGTATGATCTTCTCTCGATTTTCTTTCAAAGAGTTCGACTGCCCGATGCCAAAATTGTAATCTGGTGTCATTTATCGACAGTTACTTTGGGCACTTACTAATTCTCCCTATTGAAAGATAATGCAACGAAACTATGTAGCTGAGGCAGGTTCGTGTTTAAAATATTACTTGCATGGGAAACGGAGATCTTAGTCTAATTAAAGCATTCTGAATCATGATTTTTTAAACTTGGCCTCTTTAATAGAGGCCTCTACAATGATAATCGATGACAGTTACTTGGGCATAAAAAAGTAACCATGTGAATAGGCGCTTATGTTGATTTAAAAGACATCAAATCGTTTTTTATACTTTCTTAGTTTACAATAGAATTAACCATCCATCTGTTTTTCCAAAAATCTACAGTAGTTGTGCATTTAATTCACTAACTTTATACATTCAGAATTCTTGTGCCGATGGCCGAACGGCTGTCAAAAGAAAGGCTCCCCCATGTGGTTCGTTGTCGGTTCCCCCGAAAAGGGTTCAGTCTAACCCCTCTGCATCCACAAGCCTTCCTTCGCCACTCGAGAATTGCTTATTGCCTAGCACGCAACTTCAAAGCAACAACTCTGCAACCATCGCATACCCTTTAAACAACCTTCCAAAGTCAAACGAGGTACAAAGGGCGCTTGAGGCAACCATTTCGACTGCGGAGAACTCGTTGGTAAAGGTTTTTTTGATGTTCTAAACTATTAAACAGCTTTTCCTTGGAGTTGTTGTTGTGGTCACCCATGCTTTATTATCGCAATCAATTTATTTTGGTCTGCTGATCAGCAATACTGTTTAACAAACGCACTTCGGGGTGTGCTATTATAGCAGGAAAAACATCTTTAAAGCCTATAATCTATTTATTTATTGGCTTTAAGATAAATCAGATTGCACGCGCTTCAGCTTGCAGGGAAAGCCGCTTTTTAGCATAAAAGAGGCTATTACTTTAATACGAATTTTTATAGTCTTTACTCCCATTTTGGACTGCCTGATTAAAAGCATTTGACAAGGAAACCCAAGATCAGTCTTTATTGTTATGCAAAAGACGGAATAATTGTGTTTGTTTTTAATACGTAATACACTGAAAGTACCAAATATTAGTGTTGGATGCTGTTGACTGTGGTGTATCACTAACGGCTTAGCCAAGTTAATAGGCCTCTTTATAATCTACTAAATAAAGGTCAGATTACAAAAAAAATACACCTAGTATACTTAGACAGTTGGAATCAGTTGATTGCATAATCACTCCCCTAATGTTTATCCTCCACACCTAATAGCTTAATTCATCTGGACTGGACGACACCACGAATCAGACACCTCAGGTGCGACTCTTGAACCAAACCTGGCCACCGCCACTTCCCAATCCCCCAGTGGACCCTTCGGCCAGCATAATTGCAAGTTGTCTCCGTCTGGCGGCAAATTTCCTTCTACAAAGCGCTACCTTTTTTGAGTCGAAAAATGCGCCATTGCCTGAAATGAACCCTCCTCTCCCAGCATCACTATTTCCACCATCAAATCTGCCGCTAATCATCAACCCCCTCTTTGGAGGTAACTTACCTGCTATGCCACCCCTCGGCACGACCAGCGTTTCGCTTTCTGACATCTCTCAAGCTTACCCAGTATCTTTCCTCTCTCCGAATCCGCCTTCTACAACCGCTCCTTCTGGGAACATTCCCGTCACGTCTAGTACAATCTAGTTTGTTCTTGCGAGGATACGTTTCTGATGAATTGGTCTAATTCCTGTTTGTATCTCATTTTTTAGTCATTTATTAAAATGTGTTGTTTTCTTTCGTTTGCGATTAACGGCATGTTTTTTTTTAAATTGGAAGGTGGGGTAAACGAAAAGTTAACAATCGGAACAATTAATAATGCCCTCAATTCGCAGTCCTCTAAAGAGATAAATTTTTCCGTGAAGTTGACAGTACGCGTATTTTAAATATGGGACTTTCGCTCCAAAATATACTCTATTTCTCTTCAAAACTGTTCTCTTCTTACCCCTGAGATTAAGCTATAATGTTGAGTTTTTTTGAAACAGATGTAACCAAAGTGAATAATAAAAGAGTTAATTCACAATTGGTTTAATACCCAATAGCAATGTTTCGATGAGATTAATACATTGTGTTGACCTGCTGGAGATATTATTTGTGTGAAGACAGCGCAAGCATTGGGTCCTTTATCTCCCCATAGGCATCTCAGCCAATCAAAGTCTCCGAGTCTCTTTCCCAAGTTATCATAATGCATTACTCTGATAAGTTTTGGTATTACTGCTCAATATTCAGGACGCCTTTTTTGGACTCTCTAGGACTGGTTACGGGGAGATCATTCAGAAGGCAGATAAAATATGTCTTTAAAATGTGGAATTATTTCCACGAAAGGTGATCCTGGCTACTATTATGGTTTCAAGCGTCCTTGTAAATGGATCTTGAAGAAACTCATTCTACCCACCTCGTCCTCAGATAGCATCATAAAAGTTAAATATTGATACGATGCACAGGTTTATTAGGAACTCCCATTAACAGCCCGTAAGCTACTTAGTAAATTAAAAGGATTTCGATTTGGAAACAGTTCAAAGCCATTTTCTGAACAATGGAACATTTAAGCCCATTAAAGCATTGTCTTGCCAAGGAGAGTGCAATTTCAACAGTCACAATAGAGAGGATCGCAGGACTGGATTTCACATTGTGAGGAAAAACAACTGCATTGGCCATTTTGCATTCACTTTGCTCCTATATATATTATAAATTCTATGGTAATTTAATGGATATTTCAGTAGAGTCGGATATATCAAGTAGTAATGTGTATTTTGTGGCTGATAATGATATCCTAATGCCCCTGTAGGTTTAGAATAGTCTACCACACCAACTAGTCCAGTTTTTCACTGGTCCTTTTTAAATCTAAAACTTGAAGCTGATAGGTCATTGCATTGGGCAATGACGAAAGCCCTCGAGATGTACAGGCCATGAATAAGAACTTTTAGGAATCCGACTCGGATTTAGAAATAATTTCCAACAGGTCTTTTGTCTCCGTGAAAGACGTTCGACCAAGGCAAATACAGTGTCAACATTCATCTTTTCTCCAAGGAACTCCATTGTGGTACTCGAAGTAATTCAAAAGTTCTAGACGGTTATGCGTGGCAAGTTTTTCTTTGTGTTTTTTGAAGGTTAATTGTTTGGTGAAGACGAAAGTAGTTCTATTGAATTTTTTTATTCCCGATGGCTTCAGTGTTGAAACCATCAATCAGACAGGCCACGTTAATGGCATTTCCATGCTCGGTGAATGGCCCCAAACAACTTTTCAGTGTTTCTAACCTGCGAAATGGAGTTCATCTGGATAAATTGTTTGAGGATTATATCGGTACTTTAGCCCCAAGCCTCTCCAGCCATACTTTATTCATAGTTTTTTGTTTTTGTGGAAACTGGTAGGGAGTAACCCAAAACGGGGGGTGTGGGTAGTGGTACTGATCTGTGGTGCTCCGTCGAAGAATGCGGTCCCAGGCGCGGGGAAACTTCATCTCCACCGACGTCTTCCCCGCGGTCCTGTGCTCCATCTTCTATACCTTTTCAAAGAATACCAAGCGAATACAGGGCTACCACGGAAGCCATAACTCGCCACTACGTTGGTTAACTGTCGTGCAAAGTTGTCTACTATTCCACCACTGCTGCCAGACGATAAAAGGTGAATCACACGGTCAACTTCGGCAATAACTTGGCGGAACATGCCAAAGAAACCCTCTTACTGCCTGAGGCACACCCTACACGAGATTTTTTGACAAAAAATGGTAAAAAGCCTCAAGGCAAGAAATGACGTACGAAAAAAGGATATGTCGGTGCTCAGTCTTAATGTTAAACAGGAAGTGCATCTGAAATCATGCTTAATACGCTGTTGAATTAGGTAGTCTAAAATTTTTTTGAAGTCAAAGCTTCTACACTTGTATGCAAAACTAAAACCCAGCATCAACGTGCAATAATGAAGCTAGTTTACAGGCTGTAAAAGGTTATCTGGCAGAAAAAATTGAATTGCATGTAGATTTATGCCATACATTTGGAGAACTGTTTTGTCTCACACTACAAAACCAAAACTATTGGCTTGCCAGCACATTAGAAGTGAGACATTTGTGGAGCGTGCCCAGGCATCCGGGCCAGGGGGCTAAGCATGCGTTTGGGGTGGTCCTGCTGTAGCCATGCCGAGTCCGACTAATTTTGTTCTCTTAACTGCATTAAGTGGATGATGAAACGTGCAACCTTTGAAGAATGTGGCGTGAAGAACCAAAAATCCCGAAACTGACTCAGCTTACTTAGCCTAATAGAGAGGAAGCACCGATGTTCAACTGACTGTCGTTTCTTTAGATGTGATAAAATAGCAAAATGAAATCAAAATTAATTAAGGTAATGCACAATTTCAAGGCTTCATTTAATTGTTAAACAATCTGACGAATGTTGACTTGTGTTGTCAGATTCTAAAACCCTATCGAATTAGTCTTTATATCTGGAAAAGTACAAACTGCGATAATTTACTAAAGGATTGGCTTACTCGTTAACCACTTTGTGCGATTAGGTTTCGGGTAGAAGTTACGCCTAAGGGTTAACTTCGATGAAATTTGAACTGTGGAAGCAAATTTTTTCATCCCGTCTGGTTGCTCTACCCAGAAGTGAGTGGTTTTTTTGTCATCCGTATCCCCAAAGGCAATTTGGCCTTCGGCAAGACACACTCTCTTTAAGACACCAACTAACTTCTTGTAATGCCCCAGCCTCATTGTCTCCGATCTTAGAAGATTTAGCCCTTTCTTCATTTGGCTAAGAATAACTGAAACAAAATTTAATCACGTAATTCTACAACACATGTTCAAAATTCGATACAGAAATATCATTTAATAGTCACAATATTCTCGATTTGTGAGACTGCCCAGTCTTGATGACACCACTACGGAAACAGACCAACTATTGCTCCCGCTTCTGCTATGGAATTTAGAAAATAATCCGTTAAACGTAGTCTCGAGATATTTTTCTCACGTCGTGATTTTGCTTCACACAAACACGGTTTAATTCGACAGCAAAATGCCAACTTCATTTACTCTGAAATATCCACTTGGCGTCGTGACTCACCAAGATTACTGATTATGGCATTTATGCATTTTGGTTAAGTTGCTGATAGGTATGGGTCGTTAGACAGCACGGAACGAACTCCAGAATTATCGGATTTGGCTTACTTTGGGGTTTTACTTGAGGTTTGCTCAATTCCCAATTCGACGGCAAATTTACTGAAGTTTATTTGAAAACGCAGTAATTTCGACAAACTATGTTCTTTTCGATAGAGAGAGGACTCCTGGAATCGGCTTAGATAATATATCTGTAATTTTCAATTTTTTGCAAATAATCGATTTTGAAAGGAATGTGTGGGTATGGTGGGTCGTTTGCGGTCTCGTGACGTAATTCGGCCACAAAATAACCTAATTGGGATGTGCTCTCGTCCTCTTGTCGAAAGTGAAGTGAGTCGGAAGCACTTGTGGTCCAGGAGAATGCTATTTGGCCGTCATGACCTAGTTGGTCTGGGATATTTGTTATTTGCCCCAACACGATCGCATAAACTCAACCGACAAACACTTGAATTATAAGGCACACCGGGGTTTAATATTTGGCATCAGTCCGAGTTTCTTAATGTTCTTCCATGTGCCATGTCGGCTCAATTAAAACAGCGAAAAAGGGAGGTTGCAGGAAACGGCACAGCGAGGGGGAGGGTAGGGGCACCCAAGTGCCCCGTCACAAGTCGGATGTCTGCATAATCCGACGATTTGACTCCCATAGAGGTGTATGTGTGCAGCTCATGGATTTCGTCAAACGCCTGAAGTCAGGTTTGTCCTAACGTCACAACATTTTTTGGTGTCGAAAGAAAAATAAAAGAAATATGCCAAGATTTGCGAGTTATTAGTGCAAGTGTTTGGTTGAAATTTTGAACTTGGAAGTAATTAATTTTAGCAAATACTTGACGCTGAAGGCAACTGATGTCGCGTGAAAGTGAAGCCAATAGAATTATAGCACAGGTGGCGCCTAACGTCTGAAGAGGATGAATGTCTCTACGTGAAATCACTTTCCGCTGGCTTGATACAACTTATCATCAATTATGAACAGAGAATTTGGTTATCGATATCCATACTTGTGATCCTGAGATACTTCATTTACATGGCTATTCTCTCGGCTAAATTCACTTGACTTTGATTTGATCCAAAACGATGGCCAAATTAGACTAATTCGATGTGCCGTCTATTTAAATTGGGAATCACTGTTTTTCGACTCAGACAATAAAGTAGAATGATAAAACCGCACTCCAAATGACCACTGCTAAAAGTCTGACATTAGGACTAGCTAGTTTAACAACTAGAATTTCTCTGTTCCACCTGCATCAGAGTGATGGCGCCACTTTGTTTTAAATCCAAGTCAAACCCACTGGCTTGGCGTTTCCTCACTACGCCCTGCACCACAATTACTTGTGTGATATTGCCTTATCCACTAAAAGGAACATTCTTCTGTCACTTAATTGCCCTTCAAGGCGCCTTTGTGTGTTAAGCAGCCGCTAAAACGCTTCCTGACGGAAAGGTTAACGTGTGAGGATCCGTTTACTGGTTTTTTGCCCATCTTAGTTATCTGCATTGTAAATCATCCTAAAAACCTCGACTATTTTCCTCTTACAAATTCTTCCCAAGAAGTGATTTCGCATTTAAAAATGTCTATGTGGTTCGAATTACATACACTACTGTTGTTATCAGGAGCCAGAAATGAGTGCTTTTAACAGCGCAAATTCAACAAAAAAATGCCAGATAAAATGGAAATAAGGAAAAAAACGTTTCAGCTTCCATGTTGGGAAAACGGAGACAGACTGCCGTTAAATAAATACCCCATATCTGGTGTATGAGTGGATTTAAACGAAACGAACTTGAAGCTGAAATGGAGCCGTTTTTAAATAAATCCCCAGCAGAAACTCGAAATTGCGATGCCTATCAGCTAAAAAAGCAACCCCCTTCTAAGCGGAAAGTAATGCGCGTGCAAGCACACATGCGTCGGGCAAATGAAGACGAGCTCATTACCCTTCAGAATTTTTGTCTGCAAATTTGCCATTAAGCAGCCCCTGTTTAGCTCTTGCTAACTGCGTGAAGGCAATGCTGCTTTTATTTTCTCCTGTCTAAGTAATGCCAAGACATTTCCCAAATCTTCGTTCAGGCTTATTCGTTGCGTGATCGTTCATCACCTCGACAAACACTCCAGCACCACGTGAGTTGGAATAGAAGACTCCACGTTTAATTGGAACCAGAACCACTTTATTAATAACCATTTGAATGCAACCGGCCAACCAAGAGATCGCCTCAAAGTAACTGATTTTGGACAAAAAAGCTTAAGGGATGGCAGTAGAAAGAGTCTATTAGACACATTACCTCCATGATCCGTCACGGCAATGGACACTCTCCAGAAGTGAGCGTGCGAAATTCGGAGCATACGCCTGCAATCACGAAGATATTGACAACAAAACTGGTAGAATTCTTAGTTTCATTATTCGCAAAGCTGAAAAAAGGTATCCATATTCGTGTGGGTTAGAGTCACATTGATGCCCGTTGGAAATAGTTTCTGTAAAGCACCGGTTTCTGTAGAACCAGCTATGCAGAAGATATTTACAAAGATAATGGGGTGCAGAGGGCAATTAAAATATTTGAATTGCCGCATTTTAAAATTGTACGGTATACAAAAAATGCCCTATAAGCACGATAAAACAGAAATAATGTTTCACTCTCTCTTGGTTATGTTATTTTCTATAGCATTCTGCTGCAGAAGCATAGAAAGTGCATGCCCAGAGTGCGTTGGTCCCACATATTTTTGCCTACGCCCGATTCCCCTTCAACGGGGTTACAAATAAAACGATGCCAACTGGACTACGACGCGAAGGCCCTCATAACCACCAACTCTAGTTGAATCCTCCAGGCTGTGTGTATGATGAAATATCACAGCTCAGCTAGAGGACCTCGAAACATCCCGCTGTGACAGAGGAACCCAATGTCGTACAGCCATGCACGGGTTGGCGTTGTTAGGTTACCTGTGATGAGACTGCAGTGCTGCCCAAATTGTCATTTAACCATTGGTTACCTTTGGTGACTCCAACTGAGTCAAAAATGCCCACAATTAAGTGGCAGAATTAGGGTTGTTCTCGAATTCACAAAGGAAATGAACGTGAATACACAATGAGGCTTTGTGCAGGTCTGTCTAAGAACGATTTTTAGTTTAAGTGACAGCCAGTTCTCAATTCTCTCCTTCGAAGAGGCGTGAGTATCCGCCACTTGGAGCCTTGGTTTTAACATCTTTGGTATATTACGTTGTTTGTGGAAAATTCGCAACGCCAAGAATTCCGGGAGGTTAATGTCGTTAAGGAAGGTACATCGAACGAATAAAACTGCACCTCCATTGAGCCATCGTAGGTTTCTTGTAAGACGGCTGTCAGAGCAAGGTATTGGTGAATCAATTTACCACCAAATTGTCTTCGATGCCACGCCTAATTACCGCACCAATG